AAAGCATACATTATTTTATGTTTGATTACGATAATAATAAGTGATTATTAGATAGTTATTTTTTAAATTTTATAATATCTTCTTTGATTTTTGTTTTATAAAAATGATTTATTATTATATTATTTTAAAATTTTATGATATTTTTATGTATCTCACCTCTTTAAAATACTCTCTCTCATCTACTACATTAGATTATTTTAAGAAGCTACCTTGAGTAGCTTCTTAAAATAATCAAAAATTTTGTTTTTCTCAGATTTTGATTATTTTTAAAAGTTTAAACAAACATCGTAAAAACTTACAAAATGGATTTTTTTTTCAAAAAATAAGTGATTTTTTTTATAAAATAAACTAAAACATATGGACCCTTAATGTCTATATCTAGACAAAGCCACAAAATTAAGAAATGCCTTCAAATTATGGTAGGAATCCTTGTCTTCCTGGATCAAAAGATACTTTCCTATCCCAACTAACATTCATCCTCCCCTTAGAGAGGGTTCTTGCTAATGACGAAGGGACTTTCCAATTGACTCCAATATATGAGTGCTTAAACTTTTTTGAGGACTAATGGGTAGATATTTAGGATGCCTTTATAGCTTCCTCCCTTCTCCTTTGTTAATTTCCTCCTCTTTATTTTCTAAAGTATGTAAGGGAAGGTCCTTTAGTTATTTCTCTTCTTCCTGTGTCACCAGCATACTGCATAAAGGATTTTCAAAATTAGGGAGATCGATAGCTTTAGTAAATTTAAATATCTCTTTTTCCTCACCTACTTTGAATATTAATTCTCCCTTAGGCACCCCCAGTGGCTAAAAATGGTCTTTCTAGTATAAGTGAGACATTGCAATTATCCTTAATGTCTAGAATAATAAAATCTATAGGAGTATAAAGTTTATCAACTTGTGTAAAATCCTTACCCATAAACATTTGCTAAGGGATCCCAACACTTTTAGCAAATCAATCTCTCCCAAACACTCTCATTTTGCTCAAATTAAAGTTTCAAAATAATGCAGAAGCTCGAAAATCATATGGAACCCAAAACATTGAGTTTTAAAACCCAAAATAGTGAAATTGTGTAAAAAAACATGACATGCATTGTGGATAAGTGTTAATGTGCCACAGCTCACTCGTCTTTATGTCATGCGCCGCAACATGAGGCATCATGTACTGTATTGCATTGCACCTAATTTGATAGCAAACAGTCACTGTCATTTGATAGCAGTAGGAGCAAACTTCCAACACATTCTAAATCTCCGTCCAACATCTAATTGAGGTGGTTTCAGTGTATACATGAAGCTTTCTCCTATATCTAGCTAATGGTACAAGTTTCACACTCAAATTCATTTTCTATGAAGAGTTGGACACCGAAACTCATTTTTACTGCTTTTTCACATAAAACTCATAACAATGGTGTCCCAACTCATATACAAGTGCCAAAAGCCTTTACTGACTATCTAACCACACTCAATGTACTCTCAAGGACTCATGCAATGCACCATACTCAACCAAAAACACATAAACCTTAATTTCACAACTCAACCCCAAATTTTCATAAAAACACAAGGGGAAGGAATTTTGCACAAATGATTTATTTTCATTCTAAAATCAATCAAAATATACATGTTCCTACTTGCAGGAGTATTTTGGCCCTAAACAAGATTTAGAACCACAACACACTAACTCAAGGCACAAAATACACAAGTTATACAAAATGATAGTGCAAGTAGCTCAACATGATGTCATATGACCTAGTTGGCAATTTAGCAACATAAATACACATAAACATATTAGAGAGGCATACAAATAGGATTTTTACTAAAATCCTACACCTCAATTCGCTTTCCCCTAAATGAATTCGATAAATTAGACCCTGAAAATATTGAGAATTAAGAGGTAAGTAGAACCACTCAGTAACTAAGTTTTACCTAATCTATACAGTTGCATATCAATAGAAAACAAATGTAAATTAGCAAAATCACATATTATAGCATATAAGTATAGCCATGGTTCACAATACTAACAACCAAGTAACCAGGCCTAAGCACATATAATCGCATAAGTGACAATGCAAATCATAGGGTCGCTATAATACCAACCATGTGCCCCTAACACATACTAAACCACAATAGTAACAACCATGTAGCTGAATTCTAAATGCATGATTAAATGCCAACCTTATACCCTCCTGTTACCTTTAATATGAAACCGGTGGCTATGTCTTTCACAGACTAGCCCAGCCTTTTACTTGTGAGAAGCTATCAGGCTAGGGTCAACTTACTCACTTGTGTAATCCAATTTCCCCCAATACTAACAACCATGCAGTGTCATACCCTTAATCTAGCCTCCTCATGAATTGATGGAGACTAGTTAGGTTCAAGTCCTTCATAGAATAAGTGAGATAGTCCCAAATCAACCATGGGACAAATGCTACCTCCCAATTCTAGTTATCAGTGTCCTAACGATCACTACAAATACCATGTGGGTTTTTCAACTACTCCTCTCCTCAGGTGAACTTCCACCAATAATCATGCAATGCATGTATACCACATATTCATCCAACTCAATTATCAATCACATAACATGGATTCACATATCCATAATTACATGTTCAACTCACTCCACATGCCAAATCCTATATTTTATCAATTTCACAATGACATACCATTAATTAAAATCATTGTTCATTATATGCAAACATGCATAAGGTTCTCCATTTTTCTAAAAATCATTTCTCACCAATTCATCAATTCATCATAATTTCAAACATGCCAACTTTGTATCAAGAGTTTAGAAATATCAATCACATTTCAAATCAACCAATTCAACAGTTAATCAACTATATAAACTAGGTTTCCCCTGGTTACCTTAAACCTTTGCAAAGTCAAAGATTTACCTCTCACAATACCAACTTCCAAAGCCTCTCACAAGCTTGAATGGTGCCAATTTGAACCACACTACAATCATAACACAAGGATATTATCATTATTCCATTTTTGTGAGTTTACCAACATTAATCTCCACATTCTCTATTCTATCAACCCTATAATTCACTACCCATTTATATCCAATAGGTTTATTAGCTTCTATTAACCCACATCATCATCAATAAATCATCTAACTGCCATTAAGGAGTATCAAACTCTCCCAACTACCTCATTTATGGCTCCCATGAACCAACCACTTCAAAAATCATTAATGTTGGGTTTAAATATCCTAAACAACTCTCATTATATCTATTTTAACCAATGGGTTTGGAACCATAGCTCCTATGGACTGAAAATTAATCTCCCAACTTAAACCCTAACTCAAAATCTCATAAATATAGAAGTAGAAGGAAGAAAGAAAGCTCATTATACTTACCTTAGGTGTTAGGAAGCTTTAAACTACCCTTAAGGGTCTTAATATGCATACATTAGCTACTGCAGGCCTAATGAACATTGATTTTGCCTATGTGCCATGATGGATTGCCCACACACAGCAACATATGGCACAAAGAGCAATTTATCACTTTTTCCTCTTCTTTCCTTGCCCAAATGGCCTAACTTCACTCTGGACCCACATCTAGGGCTGAAATTAAAGCCAAATACACTAATTAGACCCCTCTAGCCACCCACCTCATCAACTCACTAATCATGCTTATTAAACTAATAAATCATGATTTACAATTTCCTAGATGTTACAACTTGCATTATGACATTCTCAACTACACCATGTGGATATCTAAGTGATCTATCTACAAGTTGAAGAATCACATTGATTAGCTTAATATCTATTATCCTAGTTTTCCTACATAAAGAATAAGGTATTACGTTAACACTTGCACCCAAATCACATAAACAATTTTCAATAATATTGTAACAAATATCACAATGAATAGTGAAATTCCCTAGATCTTTTAATTTAGGTGGTAGTTTTTTTTTTTGTAGAACTGCATTGCTCCTTTGTATGTGTCACTATGGTATATTCTTCCAACCTTTATTCATTTGAAAGCAGCTCCTTAATATATTTGGCATAAGTGTATCTTTGCCAATGCCTCTATAAGGGGAATATAATTTTAAATTTTCTTGAACATCTCAAGGAATTTTTGGAAGCCTAAATCTAGATCTTTTTTTTAAGGTGATCAAGACATGGAATAGGGGGTATATAAGGTTTGGCTTCAAAAGGAGAATCGCCACTTTGATTTCACTATTAACTCTAGGTACCTCAATTACTTCATCATCTTCATCATTTTTTTGTTTGCTTACATTTTGAGATATCATTTTAGCCCCATTATTGACCTCTTGGAGTTCTTTACCATTTTGTAAGGTTATTGTCATGATTTGCTCTTGTGGATTGACTTTAGTATTGCTTGAAAGTTTATTTTAACTCTTTCCACTAAGTAAGCTAGCCAAATTGCTTATTTGAGCCTCCATATTCCTCAAAGAATTATCCATTTGAGATTTCATATTCTTCATAGAAGCTTGAGTCAAAGCAATTACTTGTTTAAGTTAGTCAATCTCTTTATTAATGCTCTTTATGCTATTTACTTGGTAAGTCTCCATTTGAGCCAAAGATTCCTCTAACTTTGTTGTACGATTCTTAATTGTACTTCTTTGTTGTCGCAAGCGAGGTGGTGCTTCTGGGCCTTGAGTGGAGGAATTTTTCCAAGAGAAATTTAGATAATTTCTCCATCCAGGGTTGTATATGTTAGAATATGGGTCATACCCATGATTAACTTGATTAGTAGTAGCTCCCATATAATTAGCCTCCTCCATATAGTTACCATTATAATTCTATATTGAATCCCATAGTCAACGTGAGACATTTGATGTAGAAACTTCATTAGCCATTACCCTCCTTCCTCAAACTGCCTTATTCCTTGAATTTGTTGCTACCATTTTATAAATCTCTTCCCTTTCTTTAGTAATCATATTACATAGATCACCTTAAGGTGCATTATCAAATTTTGATTGGCATTCAGAATTGAGCCTATCACAAAAAAAAAATCCATAAAGAGTATATGTGAAAATTGGTGATGGGGACATAAGCTTATGAGGAGATTATAACGTTCTCAGGCTTCATGAAATAATTTACCATTTTACCATGTGAAGAAGTAAATCTTGTCCCTTAATTTTGAAATTTTCTAAGGAGAATAATATTTCAATATAAATTGCTCATACATCTCCATCCAAGACTTTATGGAAGCTTCTGGTAAGTGCAAAAGCCATCAATGAGCTTCTATCTTTAAACAATAAAGGAAACAACACAGCTGTAACATGTAATCCAATAGATCATTTAGCAGTAATGTATCAATTATTGCATAAAATTATCATATAAAATTCAAGGCATCTTTAGTTTGGTGCCTATTGAAATTAGGTAACATAGTAAAATGAATATTCTTAAATTCATAATTATGCACTTAAGTACTTGGTAGGATGCATGATGGATTGGATGTGATGAATGAGCATTGAATATCTCTAAATGTAATGGGTGGCTATGGAATAGTTTCATCACCCAACTTTCTTCTTCTTTAAGATCTATTTTTTCCACAAAACTGTTCAATTTCTAAATTAATAGGAATCAAATCTAAGTCACCCAAACTTCTCAATTGCATAAAAAAATAAATAATAATAAAAAAAATAAAAGAAAAAATTTAAAAAATAGAAATAAAAATGAACTACAAATTAAATAGTTAGTCCAATTATTTCATTAAAAACATATTAGTTCAATTTGTTTGATTACTTATACTATCTCCTTCTCCTCCTAATAAAACGGATACTAAAATACAAGAAAGGTTTTTTACTGGTAAATAAGAACTTTTTGGAAGTATATTAGATTCTACTTCATATATTTTTAGTTCAATTGTTTTTATTATATTTATTTTTATAATTTGTATTTATTTATTACTATTCAAGCTTAATTATTCAACTATCAAAACTATTTAATATATTCAAAATAACAAGCAATTAAAACAAGTAAGCGGGTAAGGAAAGCAAGAAAACAAGCAACCGAGAAAATTAACAATCATAAACATTAGGGATTAAGAAGTTCATATTATCTTCTTTTAACATCATTATGACTCAAGCTCAAATACCATAATTGAAACCAACTTAAATAACCTGCAACAAGATTATTTTTACCTTTGACATATTCAATTTTATAATCATAATAAGACATATATGATTGCCATTTAATTAACATCTTATTACATAGTTGAGTTATTTTTATTTCTTTATTCAGCCAATATTTTACTTGAGTATTATCAGTTCTTATAATAAATCTAGTATTGACAATAAATAATTTAAACTTTTATACAACTTTTACTATTGCTAAAAACTCTTTTCAATTAGAGCGATATTTAGTTTGAGATTCATTAAATTTTCCACTAGCATATCTTGTTATTACTTCTTCTTCTTTATTATTGATGTGATATAAAGCTGCTACCCATTAATTTTCACTAGCATTTGTATAAATTATCCATATTACATTATTATTTGCTAGAATGGTTAATTTTGGTAGATTTTAACATAAAGTTTTTATCTTATTTACTATTTTTTTCTTTTTCTTTATCCCATGTCCATATTGTCTTTTCTCCAACTAATTTACTTACTTTAGCTGTTAGTTTTGATAAGTTTGGAATATAATTTCTAGCCTGATTTACTAATATATATGTATATATGTATATATATATATATCTTTTCATTCTTTATATATATATATAAATGTGTATATATATATATATATATAGATTTTGTATCAAAATTCCTTTTTATCTTATAATTAAGTAAGTGGAGAAATATATATAAATATTAATTAAATAGATATGAAATATTAATAAATATAATCTAATCTATGCCAATTTAACTATAAAATATGCACTTATCAGTGCCATTACTAAATCTTGATTTTATTTTAAGTGTTGTAATCATAGTAAAATGAGTTGTTTATTTCTCTATGTTAAATTATTCATTGACCTATAAGAGTTGTTTATGCTATTATTGAATAACTTTAAGTAGGAAAATAAAAAACTTCCCATAGGTCAATGAATAACTTCATATTAGGAAATGAGCAACTTTAGTAATAAAGGGTATAAGAAACAACGAGGTAACTTTACACTATATTTTAATTTTACTTCAATACCCTTGGTTTGAAGTGGATTTTTAGAGTTTAAGGGGCACTCTTTTTCATTAAGTGTAGTTAAAGGTATTGAACTAAATGTTTTGAATATAACTAAAATAAGAGAAAGGAATGTATTGCTTGTGCAGATTGAATATGAATCAAGTAACAAAACATCAAGAAAGAAGAATGAGGATGCAGGAGCTTTAAGTGAAATTGATGAGATGCCTAAGTTATATCGGCACTCAATTAAATTAAGATTGACTTAATATAGTATAGACTAACCCTAGATCATTCTTTCCAAAGAGCAATTTAGGGGTTAATCTTAAGTTGGTTCTAGGTATTTAATCACTAAAAAAATCTAAAATAAAATGCTAGATTTCTACTCTAAAATGCAAATGAGAATTCAATCTACGCCACTAAAACTATCTAAATGGATGCTAATGCTAATGTCTAACATCTAACAACTAAATTCTATTATGCAATGCATGAGTCTTAAATTATGATTGGGGAGGGGGGTTTGTTTCAAGAAAAAAAGAAACAAAAGTTAAAGAAATTAATTAAGTGACAAAAATAATTAATTAACCAAAAATTAAGAAAAGTTTAATTTAATTGTGGTAAAGGGGATAACTTAAGATATCACATGGAGTTAACTTTCTTAACCCAATTTAATTACTTAGACCAAAGGGAAATGATAGGAGAGTGAAATTAATAAATTCAATTACCTAATTAAAAGAAAAGAGAACCTATAAGCACAAAGTCTAACAATTAATTCACTAGAGAACTCATAGTGAACTAAATGCTAGGATTATGAATTAGGCAAATTAAATTCATTAAATCCAATGATGATTGATATAAAATAAATCTGAAAAATATGTTTAAATTATCTAATTGAACAATTGGACAAATTACTAACTCAATTGAACAAATAAGAGGTAAAAGAAACAACCCAAATTTGCAACAAACACTACAATGACAATTAAATTAATAATGAAAACTCAATCACTAATTTAACTTGCAAAGTAAGGGGTGAATAAACTTAAATTCCAGAAATTCATTCGACACAAAATCAATCCAAATATCAATCCAATCCAAGTTTTAAAATATTTACAACATAAAACTAAATTGTATTCAAGCATTACAACTTAAAATCATTTAAAATTAAATAATTCTAAGCTCTTAAATTAAAAAGATAAATGAAAAATCACTCTCCAATAGTCTTCAAGTGCAAATCCTAGACTCTAACTTCCTCCATGCTCATCCCAAGTTGTCTCCCAAGCTAGCTCAAGCCTCCATATGATTTTTGTTCTTTCTCCTTTTACCAAGCTATAACTCACGGCCATCAATTGATGAAGATGCAAGGTGGTTGACGACGAACGAGGTGGCGTGAATTCCTTATGAGTGGACGGGGATGTGACTATTGATTGGAGAAGAGAAGAAAAACATGTATGAACACGTGTGCGGGAGGGGAAAAATGAATGGAGAGGTGCTGTGGGAAAAATGAAGTACAAAAAAATAATAAATGGGGAAATAAGGAATGGCCTATGCGTCAGTCTGTGGAGAAGGAAGAAGTAAAGTGGTGAATGATGAAATGTGGGTGTGCTGTCGATGAGGGTGGATGGGGAATGAATCCGATAGAGAGACCTGGAGATGAGAGATGACGGATGCAGAAAAAAATCGAGAGATTCAGCTTGCTTCAGGTAGCTGTGGTATATTGCTGAGAGAAAGAGAGTTTTGGAGAAAATGATCTAAAGGTTAGATGAGAGGGTAGAGAGTTTAGAAAAATTCCAACCATTCAATTTAAAAAGAGCTAATAAGAAAAAAAAATAAAAAAAAAGTGAAAAAGTTCTCTAATTTTCTTTCCTTGAAAATACCCATTATGCTCCTAATGAACTATGATAATTCTTTCCTTGTTTTGCTTCTTCATAATCCTTGGATGCTCTTTAAATTTTCAAGACTCAATCCTTATCATTAAACTTTATTAATTTTATCTCCAAGGCCTAAAAAATAAAATGCACCAATTAGTATAGATTATATCCAAAATAAATTTCATGTCTCATAAAATATTTCCAAATTAATTAATTTTTTAGAAATTATAATTTTCTCTCAAAATTGTCACAAATTCAAATAATGTATAATAATTTAAATTAGGCTCAATTAATGATTAGTAAAATTAAACCATATTACAAATAGAAAAATAAAATATTCACAATTTAACCCAAAATTCCTATAATTAATTTAAAAATATATTATTCTTCAAAATTGACTAATGATCCAAATAATATATAATAAACCCAAATTAGCCTAAAATTATCATTAAAATGCATATAAAATGTGGGATAAAATATATAAAATCTATGATTCATCAAAAATTATCATAAATATGTTGCACTTAAAGACAAGCAATGCGGTAAATTTTACACCATATTTTAATCTCACTTTAATACCCTTGGTCTGAAGTGAATTTTTAGAGTTTAAGGGGCGTTCTTTTTTATTAAGTGTGGTCAAAGGTGTTGAATGAACTTTTTTGTTAATAACAAAACCAAAAAGTAATTCGTTGCTTGTGCAGATTGAATATCAAGAATCAAGAAATAAAACATCAAGAAGGAAGAAAGAGCATGAAGAAGCTTTAAGTAAAATCATCATAAATATGCTACACTCAAAGATAAGCAAGCATGAAGAAAAAGGAGAATGAAAAATCAAGAGAGGAAAGTCAAGTTTTTATAGATTTTGTTTATTTTTACTCTTCTCTAAGAAAAATCTGTAAAAACTAATTTGAGAGATAACTACATGTTTGTGAAAAGGTTTGCATCATGTAGAAAGTCATAAGCCCGCAAGTCTTTAATGTTAAAGTATTTCATCCATGCCTGGACAATAAATGTTCACGCTCGATTGACATGCATATGTTTGCACCTATGCATCACAATGCATCATTCATGTTTTGACTGTGAGTTTCCCACACATGATTGATTATATTTTTTTTCATAGATGACGTAGAGGATTTTATTCAAGCTTAGA